ACGTATCTTTGTCCAGCTGCCCACATAATCTGTTTTACTTTGATGTGATTCTGAACATCTTCATCTTGGTGGGAGTAGAGCTACTAGGATGGCACTGCTCCTGAAGAGGGGTGTGAGCACCGTTGCTTTTTCTGTGACACTGAGGCAAATGCCCAGTTGAAAAGTCTTTACAGTTTCATTTTGTTGCCAAAGATCTCCTAGTTCAAGAGTATTTTATTGCATCCATAGCTGCACGAGGCGCTTTAATCTTCTATTTTCTATACTTCATCCCTATCTTTCATTATGATAGACATCTACAAAGATCTGGTCTTTGTCCTATTTCTGGAATTATCTAAACCACCCAAAGAAAATGGAGGTAGAAAGGATAGTGTTTGTGAACATAAGTGCCTATTTGTAGGGATCTTCTGGCAAGAGCTTTATGAAAGCAGATTTGAAAAATGTGTATTAACTGCAACAGAAGTGTGCTTCTGCCTGTGGATTGATAATGTTGTAAAAAGTATTGTTTCCCTAATTTCTCTCTCAGCAAGTTTATTATAGTACAGAAACACTATTAATTTTTGAGTGTTGACTTTGTGTTCTGCTACACTATTTTGTTATTAATTGGTTATTATTTTATCATTAATTCTAGAAGTCTCTTGGTGGGGTTTTTGAGATCCTGTATACAGAGGATGATGTCATCTGTAAATAATGATAATTTAACTTCTTTCTTCCTTCCCCTATCCCTTTTGATTCTTTCTCTTGTGTAATTGCTCTAATGTTTAGAGAACTATATTGAACAGGAGCACCAAAAGTGCACATCCTTGTCTGGTTCCTGATTTTAGAGAAAAAGCTTTCAGCTTCCATTTAATAAGATGTTGGCTATTGGTTTCCTGTAGGTGGCTTTTATCATATTGAGATTTAGGGTTTTATCATGAATGGATGTTGTATTTTGTCAAAGGCTTTTTCTGCATCTATTGAGATAATCGTGTGATTTTTGTTCTTCTGTTTATGTTATATATTATGGCATTTATTGATTTGGGTATGTTAAACCATCCTTGAAATAATCTCTACTAGGTCCTGGTGTATGAACTTTTTGGTGATTTGATGCATTTTATTTATCAATATTAAGAATTTTTGCATCTGTGTTCACCAAAGAGATTGGCTTAGAATTGTTTTATTTATTTATTTATTTATTTATTTCTCCTTCCTCTTCCTCCTCCTCCTGCTCCTCTTCCTCTTCTCCTCCTCATTTTCCTCCTCCTCTTCTTCTTCTTCTTCTCTCCTTCTCTTTCTCCTCTTCTCCTCCTCTTCTTCTCCTTCTCCTCCTCTTCCTCCTCCTCCTCCTCCTCCTCCTCCCCCTTGTCTTTTTGTGGTTTTGGAATCAGGGTAGTGCTAGCTTCCAGGAATGACTTTAGGAATATTCCCTTACTTTTCATTACATTAAAGAGTCTAAGGAGTACTTGCATTAGATCTTTTCTAAAGTTCTCATTACAATTCTGTACTTTCTTAGTTTTTATTTTTTATACTTCTTTAATTTCATTGGCTATAGTGGGTTAAAATCCTGAAAAATCCAGTATATCTTTTTGATTCAGCTTATATAGTTCATATGCCTAGAAATCACTCCATTTTTTCTGAATTTTCCATTTCACTAAAAGATTATAGTTTCTCAAAGTACAGTGGCAACCAGTGATCTGGATGTCAGCAGAATCTGTTGTGATTTTGTCTTTTTAAATTTCTTTTCCTTTTTCTTTCTTTTCTTTTTTTAAAGACAAGGTCTCACTATGCAATTCAGGCTGGCTCTGAGCTCACTTTGTAGCTCTGGCTGATCTCAAACTCGCAAGGACCCTCCTGTCTCAGCCTCCCAAGTGCTGGGATTACAGGTGTGTGCCATCATGCCTGGCTCATCTTTTTAATATCTAATTGCATGGATCTGTTTTCCCCCCTTATTTTGATAATATTGGCTAAGGATTTGCCCATTTTATTCTTTTAAAGAATCAACCATTCATTTCATCAATTCCTTGTGTTGCTTTTTTAGTGTCAATTTTATTAATTTCTGTTCCAATTGTTATGATTTCTTTGTTGTGATAGCTTTGGGTTTGAATTTTTCTTGTTTTTCTAGAACCATAAGGTGCATCATTAGGTTATTTATTCTCTGTAGTGGGAATTCACAGCTATAAATGTCCCTCTTAGGAATGCTTTCATTACACTCTATCGGTTCTGGTTTGTTATGTTGGTATTACTGTTTGATTATAGGAACTCTCTACTTTCTTTAATTTCATATGTGACCCATTGACTATTCAGTAGAGTATTGATTAATTGCATGTTTTTGTAGGGTTTTTTTTTTCCCATTTTCTAATTTCCCTGCACTATGATCTGTGAATATTCATGGGGTAATTTTGATTCTTTTGCCATACTTTCGCATGCTTTATGGGTTAGTTTGTGGTTTATTTTGGAGAAAGTTGCATGTGCTACTGACAATAATGTAGATTCCGATGTTGAATGGAACACTGTCTAGGTATCTATTAAGTCTATTTGTTTGAAGTTTTGATTTAACTCTGCTGTTTCTTTGTTAATTTTTTTGTCTAGTTGATGTGTCCATTTGTAAGAGTGTAGTATAGTGTTCCCCATTTCAATGTATTAGTGTTTATCTGATTTTTCATGTACATTAGTGTTTCTTTTGTGAAGTTGAATGTGCCAATATTTGGTACATACATATTTAGAATTATTTCTTCCCATTGAATTATTTCTTTAACCGGTATATGGTGACCTTCTTTTCATCAGACTTGGCCAAAAAGCTGCTTTGTCTGAAATTAGGATTGCTATCCTGCTTTTTTTTTTTTTCTAGGTCTCTGTTGTATGCAATATTGTTTTCCACCCTTTTATTTTTAATCTGTGAGTTTGATTTTGAATTAAATACAATTCTTATATAGTGCATAGTGCTGTTTTGTTTCTTGATCCGTGTTGCCAATCTGTTTCTTTTGAGTAGGGAATCAAAGCCACTCATATTAAGAGTTACTGCTGAGGCTACTGACATATTCCTGTCACTATATTGTTTTCTTGTTGCTAATGTCCTGTATTTGTTTTTTCCTTTTGCTTAGCTGTTCATCTCACCAGGCATTTTTTTTTTCTTGTTGGCAATGCTGGACTCATTGCCTCTTTTTAAGGTATTCTTAGAAATTTTGCTGGTTTGGTGACCATGAATTTCTTGAAGTGCTGCAGATCATGGAAATATTTTATATCACTATTAATTTTGAAGGAAAATTTTCAGGATGAAGTTGAAGGTGGAAATTCTTATCTTTAATTCTTATCTTTTAAGACTTAAAATACTTCACTCTAAGCCCTGCTGATCTTAAATGTTGTTTAGGGGAGTCTGCTGTGATTCTAATGTATTTACCTTCATATGTGATTTATTGTCTTCGTTTAACAGCTTTTAGAATTTTGTTCTTGTGATAGACTTCTAGTAGTTTGAGGATAATGTGGTGCAGGGCAGTTCTCTTTTGGTCATGGCTATTTGGGGTTCTACATGCCTCACTTACCTGTTTATTTCTTTCTCTGTACTTTGGAAGTTTTCTACTATCATTTCTGCAAATGGGTTTGTGTTTAATGCCATTTATGTTGTCTTCTGATTTGTCATTTATTCCAGTTATTGTTAAGTTACTTTTTGTCATCAAAACAGCTGTTAGATCCATTTTTCATGTTCTCTTGGTGTTTTTAAGGAACCTTAGCATCTTGGTCTTCGAAGCCATCAACTTCTAGTTCTGAAATTCTGTCCTCACGATGGTAACTTCTGCTGCTTATACTTTCAATATAATTTTTAATCTCCTGAATTGCTGATTGAAACTTTTTAATGGATGCTAATCTTTGCTAAACTGGTCATTTTTTTTTTTTACTATTTTGATTTGCTCATTTAGCTTTTCATCTGTATGTTCTGAAAGCTGCTGGCTCATTTTGGTTATTACTTCCATTATTTATTTAGTTCTGTGATCTCCCTGAGCCTTTTCCATTTATTTTCTAATGTGTTCTGTTATCTTTTTGAGTAATTTGGGTGTGTGGCTTGTGCTGTTCTCCCCCTTGGTGCCTTTTGGATTGACTTCAGGCGAGTTGGGAGTTTTGAGAGACATTTTGTTGACTTCTTATATTTCTGTTGTTTTTATTTGTTAGAATTGGTGACCTTGAGAGTGAAGTTTTAGGTGACCACAAGAGTGGGCCACAAGATAAACTTAAAATTCTAAAAATAAGTAGAGACACTTAGTCAACATATAAAGAAATAAGGCAGAGTTTAAATCTCACCTTTTTAAAGGAAGACAAAACATTAGTAGAGGTAGATAGAGTGGAAGAGGTATTTCTCTCTGTAAAAGGGCATTAGTCTTTAGCCCATCCATTTGCTGTTGAGGACTTGTCACAGGATACTGCTTTAGTAGTGAATATGATAAAGCTTCCTGAGTGACCCTGTTTTCAAAAGACTCGTCTGAGGAGAAGTGCCTGAGTTTTTCATAGACTCATTATCTAACCAAAGAAAAACACACTACTAAAGAGGAAGCTTTGAATCCCCGTGATATTTCTTTCCATGTAGAATAAATGAGTTACATATGAATGAAAATCCTACTGAGCATACTCAAAAAATTATTCTGTTACATCCTTTTGTTTTGTTTTCTTTGAGACGGGGCCTCACTGTGTAGCCCTGGCTATTCCTGAACTTGCAGCAATCCTCTTACTCAGCCTCTTAAAAGCTGAGATTACAAGTGTGTGCCATTGTGCCCAAGTAACTTTGTTACATTCCAATAGTCAAAAGAATTTATATGATGTGTTATATTCAAATCTCTATATAGTGGATATTATACAATATAGTCTAATATTCTAAAAGAAAAATATATTTCAGGGTTTAGTGTTCATCCTGTACTGGCATATAATACTCCTTTATGCTAATGACTGACTCTTTTCAGTGATGATTTAAAACTTGTTCTTTTTTTCTTCAGAATACCTTCAATCATATTTTCCTTAAACATAGTCATGGTATACAGACAATGAAATAGAAGAAATCAGTGGACTTGAGATGTGCCACAGTCTAATTCACCTTAGTTTGGCCAACAACAAGATCACAACTATTAAGGGATTAAACATGTTACCAATCAAAATACTTTGTCTGGTGAGAGTTGCACAAAAATGTTATTCATTATAGAAGTAGTGGGTAATGTTCAATACATGTATAAATTATGACTGCTGAGAATTTTTCAAGTATGTAAAGAGCTAATTTCTTCACTAAATGTTATTGTCTTTAGTTTGCTTGTTCTGTGTGTGTGTGTGTGTGTGTGTGTGTGTGTGTGTGTGTATGATCAGTATTCTATGCTAAGGTAAAATGATTTTCTAATTTGGTTCCAAACTACATTTTTTTTTTAGAAATTTGGATTTTTATACTGGGAAAGAAAGGTGTATTTTTAACAAATGTTTCAAATATGTTATATATTTTGGTGAAAATAACATTTGAGGATATTTAAGCATATTTATTATTGTTCACACTTTATTACTTTCAAATGCTTTATTTTTTTGTGGTTCCGGGGATCAAACTCACAACCTCGCCCTTGCCAGGCAGGCACTTATGCCGCTGAGCTAAATCCCCAGCCCCTCAAGTGCATTCTTTATTGCTTTTCCTGGCAGTGAACTTGGGCAGCACTTTTAAATTAATACATGCTTGTGTCCCATTCTAGAAAATGAGAAATTGTGCTGAGAGTAAATGAACAATGCCAGGCAGAAAGTTTAAATTAGATTGTTTTTCAGAGAGCTTTCTTTTAAAGCCATGTGTCTTAGTTACTTTTCTCATTGCTGAGACAAAATATCTGACATCCAAATTTGAAACAGAAAAAGTTTATTTAGCTCACAGTTTGTAGAGGTTTCAGTCCACTCCAAGATAGGGTGTTGTGGCAGATGGGCATCACAGAGGAGAAAGAGGCCATGGCAAAGCAGGGCAGGCAGAAGGCAGAAGCAGCAAGCCACAAGTGACAAGTCATAGATTTTTTTCTGTCCCTTTGTCTTGTATCCAGGCTACCTGCACTGAGGGCAGGTATCACTCACATCTGAGATAGGGCACCTTAACCCTACCCAGAACTATGTCAAGCCAAGTAAGGGACTAATTTAGTAACCACACCCCCTTAATCTCAGCATTTTACTCTCTAGATCCAGCCACCCTTGAAAACTTATGACTGCATGAGGCTTGGAGGGAGAAGGGAAATCTAGACAAACATTGCAACACCATGTGATATGTCATGTGACTGTGACTCAATGAAAATAGAGGTTATTTACAAAACAGTTCAGTAGGTTCACACTAGTCCCAAAGATATACATGATATTTAAAAAATAACAGTGTAGGTATCACTAATGCAAGGGCCCGTGGTATTGTTTGTGGCATAGCCAGATCCTTGACTCTTCCATCCTACCCTAGATTGACTTTACTATTTTTTATTGCCTGTGTCCCAGAGTGGGCAGGGAGGATTTCAAACTATGAGGCTTGTGGCTCATTCATTTTTTAGGTGAATTATTCCACAGGATGTTGAACCATTGTTTGAAATGACATCTTGGGTTATCTGCAGATTTTTGACAGATGTGATATACTATTCTTGTCTTATTATATTTAGCTGTACATCATTCAAGGTTGGCTATGTAACAGTTTTCTCTTCCTGAGCCTGTAACCTGAAGAGCTTTTTGAAGTCGTTTCCATGCCTACAGTGAGTCAGTTGAGGGTAAAGTCTTAGTATCCTAGTACTGAGGGAGGAACTGCGCATGGAAAGGTTTAATACCTTCCCTGTAGTTTTATGTTCTCTGCCTACTAAGGCATGTAAGAAAAGTGCAAGCAAATACGAATTCAATACATTGGATTGAAAGATCTTGAATTAGCAAAGAAAGTCATTTCAAATTTATGATAATCCGAAGGATATTGGCAGTTTTGTATTATTCATTTTGTAGTTTGTTAGAAACTTGTCCTTTTTTCTAAATTCTTGTCTTTATTGACATTCTCACTGATTTTAAGTAGTGTATGACAAGCGGAGAGAGATGGAGGAGTATGATAGGGAATGAGAATTGAACTCGTTATTAAGAGTGACACATGTTTCATTAACAACATAAGTAAGTAATCCATGTTAACAGTTCTGTCTCAAGTGGTTTTTAGAAAAGAAACATAAATACTTATATTTTCTACAGAATCTACAGAAGTAGACTGTTTCCAGGCCCCTCAATCTACTGCCTAAGAACTAACAAATTGTGTGCTCTCATTCATTTTCCTTAAAATTTTTGAAAAATTTTTCTTTTCTAAATTTTAATAAAATTTATAACATAAAATGATACACATTGGCTTCAACAGTTTTAAAAGCTCATTTTTAATTCATGGAATAAAAAAACTAGTTGCTTAGTTACTATTGAAAATAATTCATTTTATAATTTAGAGAAAAAAGAACGAGACAATTGCTAATTCTCAGCCTTCAACTGTTAAAATAAATTTAAAAGTTGAAAAGAGAAATGTGGTTTACTAATGGACTATTCTGTAGTCCAGCTTCTTAACAAGTAACGATAATGCATTGTGAACTTTATACTTCATTTTATCACAGTAGGAGCCACTTGGCTTTCTCTCCCAAATTGGTAGATTAAGAATGTTTCTAATTTCATTTATTTAAAAAAATAGCTTTCTCTAAAAGCGTTTCCTTTGATCATTATTAAAACAAGCAGGAAGAATTGTTCGTGCAGAAACTGGACGTCTGTATCTAGGAGTGATAATCAGCTTTCGGCCGCGGATAAAAGCTTCTAACTACCGAACTTTCAGAAATTCTGTGATTCTGAAATGTTCTCAGTTCTGGGTTCTTTTGTGACCACAGGCTATCTAATTAAACTTTTCTATACCGAAAACTCTGCTCATATCATTTACCACTTTGAAAGCCATCAGAGACACTGTGAAGAGGAATTACAATCTGTGTAGCACATCTAAAGCTCTTTAAAGTATTTTTGGAGAAGTGTATTGTATATAAATTTGATGTATGGACATTTTTTGAATAGGATATTGAAGCCTTATTTCAACACATTAAATTGATATGGGTAAGATGTTAAATTTAGTGTCTTTTTTCTCTTTTATATTGTACTTTTTGTAGCATTTTTGAACTGTGGACAGAAGGCCTCACTTTGGCAAATGGGGGCTATGAATAATTTTTCATTTCATAATGGAATTTTTCAAATATATAACAATAAAAAGAATAGTATAATAAACCCACATGTGCTATAACCAAGCTCCATAGATTATTAACATTTTATTAATATGTTTTAAAGACTCATAGAATTATATGAACACAAATCTGGCTCATTGTGGAAGCAAAATTTTATGAAAAATAGGTTGGAAATGAGTTCTTGCTATTAAATATACCAAGAAACGTACCAGTGAAAATATTACAGATGGAAGAGAATACTTTTAATTTTTAAGTTCTTAATGCTCACTAGAAGTTTTGAATATTTAAGGATAGATACAAAAAGGCATTAAATGAGACTACTGTATATATATATATATATAGATAGATAGATAGATAGATAGATATAGATATAGATATAATTTTGAGGTTCTCAGTTCACACTAAAGTTTTAATTTTACTCTGACATTTTTCTTCATCTCAAAACTAAGGAAGCTAAGGAATGAAATGTATTGGAAAATATGCAAAAGAATATAAATCTTTACCTTTCTTGTTATTGTGGGTACATGGAAAATAAGAAAGAAGACAACATTCAAATATAAAATCTTTTTAAAATTCTCATTGAGCAATGCCTATGTGTAAATTTTTGAAGAGCTTGTTGGTTATTTAGCATTGCATAATAGGCCACGCCACTTGTAACGACTTTGGGGAGTAACAATTTTATTAGCTAAGGATTCTGTAATCTGAGCTGAGTTCAGCTGAATGAGTCTTCTGTTGAGTTTGCCACATTCTCCTAACATGTTGGTTGGGGATTTGACTCATCTGGGCACTGAGATAGCTAGTTTTTCTCTGTGGTTAGTTCTGGGGCCTTTTTGCATGATTACTTCTCCAGGAGACCCCTGCACAAATTTTCTGTAGTAGAATAGCTGAAGTTCTTTATGGTTTCTCAGGTCCTGCCCATCTTGGGCTTGAAATGGCATGTCTGCCATCCTGTTTTGGTTATAAGGGAAGTTATAGGCCAAGCTGTGTTGAAAAGGAGACAGCTGCACAAGAACATGCCTAACTGCAAGAGGGGCACCAAGGCAAAACACTACCATAGCCTGCATGATGTGAAGTCATTGGGTTTAGAATGTTTATGAAAACAAAGTGGATGTGGTAATTACAATATACAAGTTTTATTATAATAGTGATGAAATTGAGTTGCATTAAACTTGCATTTCTAGAGACAAACGTGGAATTATTAGGTTTTGCAATGTCAAAAGCTTACATTACCTAGGTGTCATCTTTCCTACTGATCTGAATAGTCATCTTAAAAAATTAAATAGTAAATGAAGTTAATCATACTGTGATATTCCAACTGAAAACCTAGGATTTGTTTTTTAGAAAGACAAAGTGTTGCAAGAAAGTATGTGTGTATGCGCATGTGTGCGTGCAGGAATATTTATTTTTTTACAGTAATTTGGGGCAGTATCCAAAATGAAGAATTATCCTGATGAATAGTTTTAAAACATTAAGAGAATTATGTTCATTTTAGAGCAATAACCAGATTCAGAAGGTCATAGGTTTGGAAGATCTGAAAGTACTGCAGAACTTGGATTTGTCCCACAATCAAATAAGTAGCCTCCAAGGCTTGGAGCATCATAACCTCCTGGAAGAAATCAACCTAGAGGATAACAAGGTAATGTACTTTACAGCCTTTGGTCTCATGGTGTACATAAAAGTGGGCATATCAGAAGGTCAGCACCGATATCCCACTAATGGTTTCACAAGGGTTAGTACCTGACATGCTATTTAAAAAATGTTATCCTAGCAAACTTTCTTAAGCACTCAGTGGAGACCTATTTCTTGGAAATAAATAATTGCAGTTGATAATTTTTGAAAATTTAATGACTCCTAATTATATTGTTTTAAAGGTTTAAACTTCTACCATCTGTGTATATTTTTTGAAGCAAATGTGTTCATGCAAAATTCTGTGAAGAATGAGGGCATTAGGAGAACCTGAACTAGCTGATAAAGGAGGGTGGAGATAAGAAAATATCCTTAGCCTGGATATTTTCAGCCCATTACATTCATAGAGAAGGGGGTGTATGATCTTTTGGGGAGTGGGGAGAGTTTGAAAGAGGTGTCAGCCAAAAAATATAAAATTTTACTAGGAGGAGTTAAGAATGTATTTTTGAAAAGTGCTAAAGAGAGTAGATTTTAAATGTTCCCACTACAGAATGTTAACTTTGTACTATAACTGTGTTATAATTGTGATGTTTGTTAATTAGCTAGATTTAGCCACTCCACAGTTTATATATATATATATATTTCAGTACATCATTTGTAAATGATAAATACAACTTTATCTGTAATTAAAAATTTAAATGCAAATACCCCAAGAAAGATTTAACCATTAAAAATACAGGAGCATAGGAAGTAAATTTTTGTATCTTATTGGTAATAATAATAACTAATTTTCTAAGGTGCCTGATAGGTCGCAAATTGGATTTATTCAAATTGTGATGTCTGAATTAGTGTGTACTTCAAAAATTGGGGCTGGGGATTTAGCTCAGTGGCATAAGCGCCTGCCTTGGAAGCAGGCAGTCGTGGGTTCGATCCCTGGTACCAATAAAAAGGAAAAAGACAAAAAAAATTATATGAAATGAGTTTCACTCTTAATTTCATTCTATTTTTCATAAAACATTTGTGCTCCTAATCATGATAGGTTAAGTTGGTACATATAGTTGACTTCATACTTAATAAGGTCTACAAATTGATTTTATTTGTACTGAGTACATCACATTTTGGGGGGAAGGTTTCATAAGGAGGTTCTTTCTGTTTGAAAATGAACAGTTGGGTGGACCGTGAAAGGGTGGTGCTCTCTGCCATACGGTGTGACACTGGAAACAGCCTGTCCTGCTGCGGTGCTGCGCATCAGTCTTGTCTGATGATCCTTTCTCTAAATACCTTGCATCATCTGTTAGGTGGCTAAAAATCAAGAAAAGTTAACCACTAAGGTCTGTGAATAAGTAAACTTTTAATCATAGTCAAAATTATTCATCTTCATCTCACCTGATTTATGTTTTAAATAGTTTTGATGACGTTTAAAATAATTCTAGTGAATGGCCTTTTTCCACAATTCCTTGTCCTGAGAAGTCAGCACAATTTCTCTTTCTTATAGTTTTAGAGTCCTCTTTGTGCAAATACCATTAATAAGTAGTTTTAAAAAATGTTTCTGTGTAGCGGATTTTGCGTATATTCAGGGTGTTGAAAAGGTAAAATACAATCAGTAAGTCCCAAATCAGTGTAGCTCAGGATTTAGAAAAAGAGTAGCAGTAGTGATACCAATAATACTGAGTCATAAAATAATCCAGAGATATCTGCTGATACCCAGTGCTATGCTAAGCACTTTATGTATCTCATTTAATCCTTGTCATGGCCCTATAATTTTACTATTTATTATTATTTTACAGATGTAGAACCCAGGACACAGAGAAGCTAAGTAACTTGCCTAGAGCTATTTATCAAGTAAACAGCAGAGCCAGGATGCCAATATAGAATGATTTGCCTCTAGAGTCAGCGTGTTCTTCCTCAGCAGGTTAATACAGTAAATGAAAGGCCAATGCCCCCTTCAGAAATGAGTGTGGTATAAGGCTTGTTAAAAGTACTTTTTCATCTGGTTGTGGTGGTGCTGACTGGGAGACTCAGGCAGGGGGATCACTGTAAGTTGGAGGCCAGCGGGGCTACACAGTGACTTGAAATCCAGCCTGAACTGCATAGTGAGACCCTGTCTCAAAAAAAATATGCTTTTCATAGAAATACAATATAAGCCATATATGTGAGCCACACATGTGTTTAAAATTCTTTAGTAGCCACAATAAAAAGAAAAATTTAGCTGCAGTAATGCATCTTACTTAACAGCATACCCCAAATATTATCATTTTGGCATGTAATTTACATGCAGAAATACTGATGAGATATTTTCCTTCTGCAGTCTTACAATGAGTTTTTTACTTCAGGTGTGTAACTTTACACTTAGAGGGCATCTCACTCGATCCTAGCCATACTTAAAGTGTGCTAAGTAGCCACATGTGGCTAGTAGCTACTGTATTGGAGGCTGCCAGTCTAGAAACCCTTCACAAATAGTGTATTGTTCTCTTCCATCTTGAGACTTTTCATCCTTAAAAGAAGAAAGATGTTCATATTGTCCAAATGTGAAAGAGACTGTATTTTGAAAAGTGGCCACATGCCCCAGAGAATCTCCTTTGGCAACAGTTGGATCCCCGAAGATAACTAACTCCCTGGCTTCCCCCTGGGAGGGCTGGGGAGCAACCCACAGTGCTTTGAGATATTCTCTGAGCCACCTGAATTGTTCCTCGGAGATTTTCCAGGATGACTGAGAGTTCTATGCATTAGAGATGGAAACTTTATCATGTAAAAGCGACATGGTATAGCTTTTGCTTCTTGTCTGATTAATGTGGCATTAGGAATATTATTATATTGGTAGCATTTTCATGTTGCTTACTTGTTTTAACCACTGAAGCATGGCCTGGTCATGTGGTCATTTGCATGTCTGTCCTTTGCAAGTATTTATTGTCAGCTGGCAACTCAGAGACCTTTGTTACTCTCCACTTCGCAATTCCTGTTACATTTACATCATGACTATCTTTTAAGACATGTCAAATGGCTCTATTATAATCTCTGTCTTTTCTCTGGCCACAGGATATTGGTCTGAGCGACTTGGAGAATGCTGGGTAACTTCATTGAGTCTTATTGTCATCCTTATTTTATTTTGTAAGTTTCTGTACAGATCACCAAAATAATATTGAGAAAAATAAGAGAAACAAGGAAAAAGTTTAGTCCTAAGTAACCAGTGCATTTATTTACCCTCCTAGTCCTTGTAGAGGGCCTTGGCCATTCTCCTTGAACACCATGATTGCACTCTATTTTAGCAATGATTCATATGGGTAGGAATTCTTTATAGAGTTGTCCTTGCTTCTTTCTGTCCAGCGATATATGACATTTAATTTGTCAGGCAAGCAGTGCATGGACATTACCCTGTCTCATTGCTGCGAGTGGGAACAATGAATCTGAATCCTAAGCCAACTTGATAGCTCTTTTAATTTATATTTGTTAAGTCTGAAAAAAGAGAGGTTGTAGTAGATGGGGACTCTGAGGCCTCTAGAGACTGCCACCTTGGATATAGAGACAGCCAGTGCTGGGTATAGGAAATGCTGGAATGATCAGATCTCCTGCTAAAATTATCTTCCTTCTATCTGGCCCAAGTGTCCAGTTGTAGAATTCATGACCATTTGGCCTGGCAGTGCCTGGTACCCTGTCACAAGGTTCAGACAGGAAGGAGGCTCCTTTGTGGTCTGTATCTTCTTCACATGGAAGAAGACGGCAAACCAGTCAGCCTGAGGTGGTGTAGTTATACAGAGAGCAGACGCTTTTCCGGCAACTTAGTCTCTCTAGGTAGCCTTAGCGCTCTGCTGGACGTGCATTTGGAGCCCAGGTCCTGGTGTTGCCTTTCCACTTTTCCAGGTACTTTTGGAGCTTTCAGGCTGAGGCTTTCATGGTTTTACTCTTTGCCTGTAATTTCCAACTCATGGCCTGTTTCATGGTGATGAACTTGTCTTACTCGGTGACCTGGGTTCATGGAATGAAGTCATCCTGCTAAGGCAAGTAAGAGACGTGCCTGACTGGGTTAGGTGAGCACAAGAAAGCCTATCCAAGCCAGTCCACTTGACTGGGGACCCAGGACCGCACTTCAGGTCAAGTACCTAGAGCTAAGTGCTCCTTTCAGAAGGAGGTTAGAATGGCAAGTTGCCCACATTTTCTTCCGAGTCTCATACAGACCGAGCTTATTTCCACCTGAGGGGCTTCTTAGATATGGCACTTCTATTGGAATCTTTCCCCTGGATTTATCTGGCATCTCTGCTAGAATCTTTTCCCAAAATTTTCAAAACAGTTCACCACTTCATTTAGGATTCTGTCAAACCTTCAAAGATGGCTTCTGGCCACCTCTGGCCTCCCCACCAACCCCTCTTTGTTTTTTTTTAATCCCTTCAACTGCTTTATTTACCATTAGTACTTATAACTGCCTGAAATCATAGCATATCATATGCTCAGCATCTTTTAAGAGTTTCTGTCTTTGTCACTCTGATGTTAGCTTCATGAGCTCAGAAACTTTTTCTTGTTCACTTTGTGCAGTCCCTGGTTCATTACTGGGGCTTAAGAGTGTTTGTTGACTGAACTTATAACTCTCAGGGGCACTCAGATTTGCCTTCAATACTTGGTTGGTGCTTAATGTACACGGGGAAGATTTTGAAAAGACTATGATAAAAGGAGGCATGAACATTTCCTTAGTAGGTGTAGAGAGGATACAAGGATGGAATATCAGAAGAGCTGTTTTAGCTGAGATGAGACCTTCAGTAAGGCAGAAAGTAGTAAGGAAGGAGAAAGAAGGTTCAGAGAGATTCCTGAGGATATCCATTTTCCCTAAACTTTAGAGCAGATGTCTCTCTCCAGCCCTGCTGCACCATGCCAGCCTTCTGTGACGTGGCCTGGAGTGACTTCTCCTGGAAGGCATCCTGGTGAAGTAGAGTAAGTTAAATTGTGGTCTCTAAGAGATATGACCAGGCCCTCCCTGCCAGGAATCTATGAGTGTGTTTTTGTTTGGACAAGGAGTATTTA